AGCATATTAGAATGATTTCTGAAAGATCATGTGACGCTGAAGACTGGAGTAATGATGCTGAAAATTCAGTTTTGCATCACAGGAACAAATTACATTTTAAAATATATTACAATAGAAAACAGTTCTTTCAAATTTTAATATTATTTCACAATATTACTGCTTTTACTGTATTTATGATCAAATAAATGCAGCCTTTGTGAGCATAACAGACTTCTTCCAAAAACATCAACCCCAAATTTTTGAATGGTACTGTAAATGGACGTTTTTATTTTTAGGTCATTAAATTAAACGTTTTAAACTACCATCCAGAAATGACTTTTCAATTCCAATTCAGTTCCTAAATTTGAATTAAGGTACCAAACAGGAGGCAGAATTAAAATTTGAATGTCAGTAGAATTAAAACTGAAATTCAAGGAAATTTATATACTTGTAATTCTGTAAAGGCAAGTTTTGTTAAAAGTTTAAAGATCAAAAACTCTAAAACTTCATCACGTATTAAATTTCTTTGAACTGCAAGTCAGTAAATTCACCTTCCCGTCACTCCAGTTCAAATTCCAACAAGAGTTTAACTGAGTTCATCCTGACTGAAACCTGAAGACGGTGAGTTCAATTCTCATGGATACTTGACGGTTATTAGCTCATTAAGAGCCAGCACTCTGGTGGTATGACCTGCAGCTATCAGCGTTAGCCAAGAAATTGAACAGTTCTCGCTCCAAATCATGATTTCATGTTTGGCCCTGCGCTAGAGTTCCTGCACAACACATGCCCAGATTTATAAACGGTAAATATAAATCTAAAAAAAAGCTGCAGAAACCTAATTTACGAAGTTCTGAATTAAATAAACCATGTAAACCCATGCCACAAAGTCACAACATCAGGCGTGACAGGGAAAAGCTGGTTTGATCAGGAAGGTAAGAGGCTGATGTGTTTCCTAAGTGTTGTCAGATGTGGCTTCAGATCCTGCCCGTCTAATAGCCCGGGTGAATAATAGTTTGGAAAACGCTAGTTGTGGTGAATGACACACCCGCTGGTAGAGGCACGGTTTCTTCTCCGTTACAAACCTCAATTATTCAGACTCTCCACATCATATCCTCTAAGGCAGAGGCAATGCATTTAATATCGCAATTAAAAACAGCAATTATGATGATTTAGGACAATCATATTTCACATTCACACACAAACACACAACACACATGTGCAAAAACGAAAGCAGCCAGACCAAAGTGAGAATCCAGCTTGTGAGTGTCTTGTGACGCTGTCGTCAGAAGCTGCTGGCACTTCCTTAAGTGATACATATGGTTGGTGTGTATGTGTGTGTGTGTGTGTGTGTGAGAGAGAGAGTATGTCCTTAAGACTTATTGCATTTCTGTGAAGTGAGTGCCTCATCTCCATTCTTTCCGTTAAGATAACATCTCTTTTACCTGTCTGTTGCGTTCGTCCATTATCCGCGCAATCTGAATCTTTTTCCTCCCCATTATTTCGGTCTGGTATTCCTTCCTATTCCAAAAGTACTGTACACACTTGTCTTCCTTCCTCTCTCGCTCTCGCTCCGATCCTCAGCGCAGTCTTTCCTCTTTGCTCGTTCCTCTTATTTCAAAGACTCTGGCATTCGTTCCTGAACAGACAAGACAGAGAAAGAGACACAGATTTTATCAGACAGATGTGTGATATCGCTCATATGCTTGAATGTGGGAAAAACAAGGCGCGTCTTGGTTAACAGCATACAAAATCAGGACTTTTTGTAAATCACAACTGATTTATAAAACATGTTTAACATAGCAAAAAAAAAACTTCCTTTAAAATTGAACCAGAAATGTACTTGAGAAATAAAATGTAAATAAAAATGTGATTTTTTTACACAATTTTCATCCATTTTTTGTGATGTTTATGCTTAAATATAAATTAAATGTATGAATTATATTTTTAAACTTTAATTTCCCCTAGGAGATAGTCAATAGTCATATTTTAGGAAGCATTATGACTTATACATGTATGTTATAAATAGGTTTTCATTAGTGATACAGGGCTTGCGTTAAACCTACAAGTTCACACAGATGTCTGTGGTCGTCAGCGGCCCTCAGAGAGCACAAGTACCCAGCTGAAGACCAGAGCAGCCAACACAAGAGGAAATAAAACTCAATGGCAACCCACAATGCAAATAAGAGAAAGCAGAGAGCTTTGGGGAGTAGAGGTCAAATGCTCACTCACAACGAGAGACATGGAAAACACGCGGCCTGTACAGAAACCGAAAACCAGCAGCACAGATCTTCAGGGGGCAAGTGCTTCTCTTCACTTAGACATGGTCAACAACTTGGCAATGCATGTGACCTTTTGGTTATGCTTCAAGTCGACTGATAAAAGCCAGAGAGATGTGAAGGATTTATGAAGGAGGGATGGAAAAAGCAGACGATACATCAGAAGAGGAAGTTACAGAAATGTTGTGACAGCTTTTCATTTGAATTTGAAAAGCATACCAAACGATAAAAGCCTCAGCAAGCTCCGCTCGGATAAGAGAGTATGCCAATAAAAATGGAAACTTACAGTAAATTCATCTTGGTTAACAGCATACAAAATCAGGACTTTTTGTAAATCACAACTGATTTATAAAACATGTTTAACATAGCAAAAAAAAAACTTCCTTTAAAATATTATTAATGTTTAAATATTTATACATTTAAAGAGAACATTTATAATATTTAAAAACAATGAACTTTAGAAAATAAAATTCATTTTTTTTTAAATATATTTTGAATTTAATTTAATTTGACAGA